GCGCGGAAATGCATTTCAATACATATTTTCCCTACATGAATAACCCCATTAAGAATGTTTCCAGAAGAGTATACAATTGGACTTCTCAGGAGTCGCTTTTCTCGTCATTATTTCCCAAATATTGCGAGAAACATTCGGAGAAAGTTTGCAGTTTAGTGCAAAATCTCTCGGAGAACGTCACTCGGCATCAACATGGAAAACTTGGGAACCTTACGTTGTCAGGAAAGATAGAGAGCTCGATTTATTAAGAACGATCATTTTACAAAGTAGGATTAAAGTGAGTTTATTAATAAGATCGCACAGTTAAGAATCCCGCTCATTCAGTTAAATTGTCTTGGATTTCATGAAGAATATCTATTTCATCTACATCCCCAAGACTATGATGATTAAGAGAAAATTTACAAACATGTAAACTATGAAAAGCTATTTCGATAGAGGACACAAACGTACATTAACAAACCGGTATGAGTACATCCATTTTCGAAGACTTATTGACCTGTATCTCATTCCAGAGCTCCAGTCGCTATAATGCTACAAGCTGCGAAAAAAGACGAGAGCACTAAAGGAGGTTCGCATAAGAGTCTCGGATATCATGATTCATTTCGAAGTTCTAACTACTGCAATATGTCGCAATACCGAAGCTGGAATAAGAATTTAGCTCACATTTTATACTTATGTTGTTTCTATTCATTCGGTTCAATAAAAATTAATTTGATTTGATTGCTTAATACGGGATGAAAATTTGAATTTCACTAAAAGCGCGCGCAAACGACACTCCGCCACTCGTTCGAACCAGGAGAGAAGCTGGAGAGAACACAGTGACATATCTGTTCGACCCAAAACCTCTCCCAGTTCGAACCGATATCTCTCCCAGTTTTCTCCCGTCGAATCTCTGAGTCTGTTCCGGAAAATCTGGAATTTTCATAATTTGAACGTTCTGCCGCATCTAATGGAAATGTGCTCTGTCGTGACTGCGCCAAAATAACGGCGGGAACCATTGAATTTGCTTTTTCTGGGCCTAAAATCATCATTCCTGGCTGGAAAATGACACCCGTTTGGTGACTCCTGCATCCTCTTCGTTTCTAGATTTCATTGTTACCGGGTTACCGACTTTCCGAGCAGCTTTTCCTTTTTCCCATGACCTTCTTTTGTTACCGTCCTTTCTCTTTTTTCCATGGGTTCATTGTCCCCTGGATTTTTCTGTTTCTTAATACCATTTTTGCTTCACATTTTCCTCATATTCCTCGTTCTCGAAGAAAAATGTGACTTAGAACTTCACATTGAGATATTGTTCGAATTTTTTATTGCCTTCAAAAATGTTAGCTCCCGTTTTCAGATTACGCACATAATATTCATTTTTAAGCAAAAAAGCGCTCAAGTGTCGTACCTTTTTTTCATAATCACTTATTTTTCCAGGCTATGTCTCAATTCATCAAAACATATGGACGGATTCGACCTTCCGCAAATGGAAGCGGAACTTCTCCGCTCGTATCAACGGACAAGGCTGTGAATGTCGATTTGGACAATGGTCGAAAGACCTACGAGCTTCATCGAATCTTCAACAGTGCAGCAACACAAGAAGATGTCTTCGCGTGCGTGTCCAAGAAGATCGTGGAAGACAGTGCCGATGGATTCAATGGCACGGTTTTTGCATATGGGCAGACAGGGTAAGATTCAAAGGCCGCTTTGTAAATGAAATTCGTTAATTTCTAGATCCGGCAAAACTCATACGATGCTCGGCCCGACCAACTCGTGGTCTGATCCAGAACACAAAGGACTGATTCCGCGTTCGATCGAATACCTATTCGAGCTTCTTGATGCCAAAACTCGAGAATTTCAAAAATTCACATTCTCAGTGAATGTTGAATTTGTGGAACTGTACAACGAGGAAATTTACGATTTGCTCAACCTCAAAAACAAAGTTCAATTGAGAGACTTAGGAAAAGAAATCCAACTGGACGGTGCCAAGTCAGAGACTGTCGATAATTCGCTTGACTTGATGCACGTCGTTCAAAGAGGATGGGTGTCAAGAAGCACAGGTTCAACAGCCATGAACAACGAGTCTTCGAGATCTCATGCTCTTCTCATCATCAAAATCAAGACGCAGGAAGTCACGGGTGGCCTTGTCAAAGAAAGATCCTCCACACTGAATCTTGTTGATCTCGCAGGATCCGAACGACAGTCTCATACAAAAGCTACTGGAGATCGCCTGAAGGAAGCGACAAATATCAATTCATCGCTGACAGTCCTCGGTCGCTGTATTCGTATCCTCTCAAAGCCAACAGCTGGAAGTTACGTTCCGTATCGTGATTCTCATCTGACTCACATCCTGAAGAACTCGCTCGGAGGAAACTCGAAAACTGCTGTAATTGTCAACATGCACCCAGATCGTGAGTTCTTGGCAGAAAGCACGTCCACATTGAATTTCGCTCAATCTTGTGCACTGATCAAGAACGCTGCAACCAGAAACGAAGTGATGACTGGCGACCAGGAGAACAGTTATAAGAAGGCGATCCAGGAGTTGAGACAGGAAGTCGATGAAACACGTGCAAAGGTTCGGGAAGAGTTCGGCAAGAGGTTGGATGATTCGGAGGAGATGCAACGTCGTCTAACGAAGGAGAACGAAGAGTTGAAGGCGGCTAAAATCGACCTACAATCACAAATCGATTTGGCTCGTGTGAAGTATCTGTTCAACGGAGACGCAGAACAATCCCTTGAAGAGCATAAGAAGCTGATTTCTTCACTTTCAGATAAAAGTGCTTCTTCTCTGTATACGGTTTGTGTCTTGATGCACCTTCGAATGTTTAATATTAGGACATTTTTTCAGCTCAAGCTTGAGAAGGAGGCAAGTGAGAAACGGTGTCACCAACTTCAACAAGACCTCAACGAACTTCGAAGCAAGTATGAGAGCAATCTGAGCGAAACTCTTCGACTGCAGACTCCTAATGGAAAAGTTCGCCAAAGCAGCTCGAGATCCGAACGACGTCAGACTCTGTACAAACCGTCACCCGCCACATTGGCTAACTATGTGGAGGAGAGTGAAGTCGCTGAACGTCTTGACGAAGCTAACACGATGATCTGCAAATTGGAATCCGAGAAGCAGACGTTGCAAAGCAAGTGGGAGACCGCGACAGAGTCATTCGTTGAAGCTGAAAAACAGATCAAAGAGTTGGAAAGCTCAAAAAGCGTTCTGATTACAGAGTGAGAGAATTTTTAAAACTTTCTTATTTGATTTATTTTTTGAAAATTCAGAAAAGAGCAACTTTCGAAAGAGTTTGATGCTGTCAGAAGAGAAAACGAGGAAAACGTTGAAAAGATCAGCAAGAATCGTAAAGATCTGGACGGTTTACTACTCAAAATTGCTGAGTATGCCAAGGAAATCGAGAACCGCAAACAGGAAAAATTGACGATCGAGGAAAAACATGGAAAGGAGATGGATGGTATGGTTCTAGTTTTGAAAAATTCAAATTTCAATATTAACGATTTTCCAGAAATCACCAATCATCATAAATCAGTGAAAGAAGAACTTCAGAGCCAAATCAGGAACCTGTCTGCGAGCAATTCAAATTTTTCTGAGTCACAAAAAGAAGCTAACGAAAAAGAGGAGCTCCTGCAACAGCGGCTGCAATCACTTCAGAAGAGAAGAGTGCCCTTCAGAAGGAATTGGCCAACAAGGCACAATTATTAGCTGATGCCAAGAACGATATCAAAGAATGTTCCAAGACTAGCTCTGAACTTCATAGTAAAATCGTCGAAAAGTCTGAGATGATATCTACACTCAAGAAGAAAGTTGAGGAGAACGATGCTGAACTCAAGATCAAAGCGGATTTGATCGTTTCTTTGGAACAGGACATTGCCAAGAAAGCCGAGTTGATCAAACAACAAGCAGCGAAGCTGGATGAAAATGTCACCGCTCTGTCAGAACAAAATTCCTTGAAGAGACGAATTGAGGAAGCGATCGAAATTGAAGAGAACTGGAAGGTGGGTGACAGAGCAATCCTGATTTGTCAAGGGTGAATTTTTGCAGAAACGTTACGCGGCGCTCGAAGATAAACTGCAAACCGAGTTCAACGATCATCAAAGGGACATAAAAAATCTAAAAGCAAAGAAAGACGCTGAAATCAAAGAATACAAGGAAACGTTGCAGTTACAATCAAATATGCTCAAGGAACAAGGGACGAAAGCTGAGAAGCAGTTGATCCAAAAACGACAGGAGTTTGACAAGAAAGTAGAGGAAATGGAGCAGTAAGAAAGCTACACGGCTATTCTCTTATTTTCTCTTTTGTTTCAGACAGTTTGCCCAGATGAGCACAGCCGCTCTCAAGAAGCAGGAGGAGAAAATCAGGCGTGACAGTATGCTGCAGTACGAGAGTACCATTCAAGATAAACAGGACGAGATAACTGAGCTGAAAAACCTGAATGAGTTCTACTCGAAGCAACACGATGAAGATTCCCATGCAATCGCAAACATGATGAACACGAGGCAGGGCAAAGTCGGTGGTTTTACCAGAGGATTGTCATTAAATTTCCTTAATTTTCAGTTGTCCTACGTTGAGAAGATTCGTCTCGATAAGATGGAGCAAGAGAAGACTATCATCCAGCAGCGGGCCACAATTGATCGACTCTCCAAGGGACACCGAGAAGCCAATAGACCAGTCCTTCGCAGTCGCAACCAGGAAGCAGCACCACAATGATCTCTAGGACATCAGCCAATCCTGTGAAATAATTTATTTTCTTTATTCATTTTATTATTATTATTATTTTCTAGTGCACATGCTGTGAATGAATGACTAACGAGTGCTTTCTATTTAAATAAACATAATTCGGGTTATTTTATGCTTAAAAATTTCTTATTAAGAAACATTGGTCCATTTCCCTCGCTATCTCTTTCGGTCTGCGGTCAAATAAAAAAAGAAACTAGCTTTAGATTTCAGAATGTCAGAAGATACTGCTTCAGAGTACTCATTGGACGAAGATGACATTGCGAATTGGGACAAAATGTACATGAGTGAAAGGAAGACGTTATTTGAGCAAGTTCTCGAACGCCATTATGAGGAGAATCGCATAGCGAGTCAGAAGCCAAAGAAGGATAATAGCACTAAGACGCCTAATAAAACCAAGAAGTCATCAGCAATTGAGAAGAAGAAGAAGACGAATAAGAAGAAGAAAAAGTGATTGTTTTGTGTTTTTTGTATGATATATGTATTCCTGTAAAATTGTCTCGATACTAATAAAATTTGTTTAGAAAATAACCCGAATTATGTTTATTTAAATAGAAAGCACTCGTTAGTCATTCATTCACAGCATGTGCACTAGAAAATAATAATAATAATAAAATGAATAAAGAAAATAAATTATTTCACAGGATTGGCTGATGTCCTAGAGATCATTGTGGTGCTGCTTCCTGGTTGCGACTGCGAAGGACTGGTCTATTGGCTTCTCGGAGTCGAGCAATTGTGGCCCGCTGCTGGATGATTGTCTTCTCTTGCTCCATCTTATCGAGACGAATCTTCTCAACGTAGGACAACTGAAAATTAAGGAAATTTAATGACAATCCTCTGGTAAAACCACCGACTTTGCCCTGCCTCGTGTTCATCATGTTTGCGATTGCATGGGAATCTTCATCGTGTTGCTTCGAGTAGAACTCATTCAGGTTTTTCAGCTCAGTTATCTCGTCCTGTTTATCGGTGACATTTTCATCCAGCTTCGCTGCTTGTTGTTTGATCAACTCGGCTTTCTTGGCAATGTCCTGTTCCAAAGAAACGATCAATTCCGCTTTGATCTTGAGTTCAGCATCGTTCTCCTCAACTTTCTTCTTGAGTGTAGATATCATCTCAGACTTTTCGACGATTTTACTATGAAGTTCAGAGCTAGTCTTGGAACATTCTTTGATATCGTTCTTGGCATCAGCTAATAATTGTGCCTTGTTGGCCAATTCCTTCTGAAGGGCACTCTTCTCTTCTGAAAGTGATTGCAGCCGCTGTTGCAGGAGCTCCTCTTTTTCGTTAGCTTCTTTTTGTGACTCAGAAAAATTTGAATTGCTCGCAGACAGGTTCCTGATTTGGCTCTGAAGTTCTTCTTTCACTGATTTATGATGATTGGTGATTTCTGGAAAATCGTTAATATTGAAATTTGAATTTTTCAAAACTAGAACCATACCATCCATCTCCTTTCCATGTTTTTCCTCGATCGTCAATTTTTCCTGTTTGCGGTTCTCGATTTCCTTGGCATACTCAGCAATTTTGAGTAGTAAACCGTCCAGATCTTTACGATTCTTGCTGATCTTTTCAACGTTTTCCTCGTTTTCTCTTCTGACAGCATCAAACTCTTTCGAAAGTTGCTCTTTTCTGAATTTTCAAAAAATAAATCAAATAAGAAAGTTTTAAAAATTCTCTCACTCTGTAATCAGAACGCTTTTTGAGCTTTCCAACTCTTTGATCTGTTTTTCAGCTTCAACGAATGACTCTGTCGCGGTCTCCCACTTGCTTTGCAACGTCTGCTTCTCGGATTCCAATTTGCAGATCATCGTGTTAGCTTCGTCAAGACGTTCAGCGACTTCACTCTCCTCCACATAGTTAGCCAATGTGGCGGGTGACGGTTTGTACAGAGTCTGACGTCGTTCGGATCTCGAGCTGCTTTGGCGAACTTTTCCATTAGGAGTCTGCAGTCGAAGAGTTTCGCTCAGATTGCTCTCATACTTGCTTCGAAGTTCGTTGAGGTCTTGTTGAAGTTGGTGACACCGTTTCTCACTTGCCTCCTTCTCAAGCTTGAGCTGAAAAAATGTCCTAATATTAAACAT